CTCTCTCTCTCTCTCTCTCTCTCTCTCTCTCTCTCTCTCTTCCTCCTCCTCCTCCTCCTTCCTTCCTTCCTTCCTTCAAACAAATGCACCTACACTGAACCGATTCGAAAAGCTACGCTATGCTATATTTATAAAGAGTACAATGACCAGTTGTATATATTATATACTACACAGGTTCTAGAGGAAATATTTGATATTTCACCCATTTCTCAAGGGAATGCAGGGCATCAGGCATCCCCACTGCACTTACAAGCGCAGAGCAGATAGCATCACGTAATGCACACACTGGCAGTGCTGTACGCTACAGGCTACGGCACAGGAGATAGCGGCTCAAATCAACGCGAGGAAGACAGACAACTACGCAGTCTACACTTACACATGTAACACTGACCAACACCATTACTGTATCCAGAACTGTGTCCATCTAGTTCTATGTCTGAATGGGTTAGGGTGAGGATCAGGCACGGTTCTGGATAGTCTCTATCTTCTGGATAGTCTCTATCGTATCCAGAACCGTGCCCATCTATTTCTTTGTCTGAACTACAGTATTAGGGTTAGGGTTAGGATCAGGCACGGTTCTAGATAGTCTCTATCGTATCCAGAACCGTGCCTATCTAGTTCTATGCCTGAGTGGGTCAGGGTCAGGGTTAGGATCAGGCACGGTTCTGGATAGTCTCCGTGTATCCAATCTACGTAGATTTGCCTTAGACATGGTTCTGGATACGCGTTGACTATGCCTGAACATGGTACCAGAATCAGCAACTGTCCAATCATTTAGTTGTAGTTTGTATGGGCAGTGAAACATGCTTTACAAATATTGTATTTTCAAGAACTCATGTTCCCCCGCACTCAGTAACGCCACAAGAAGAGCGCTGAAGTAATTTGTATTCTTATGCGTTCCGACTGCTAGCGTTGTGCAACAAGCTGATATTCACCCCAGCTGAGGAGCAAGAAAAAGTCGATATTTTTCTTAGTCCGGCTTACTCTAAAAGTCTCCCATGTATATGTATATAACGTCAGAGCAATGCGTTTTTTAAAATAATTTTTAATGAAAGAAACCCACATGTCCTGCGCACAACATAGTTGTCCGCGACATATCCAAGAACTTATTTCTTCAATCGCTTCGACTATCACGGAAATAAAAGTAATGCGACTTTCAAGGGTAGATTAGCAAATGTTCCTTCTTCGAAGGATTCGTATTTGGAGTTTCTTAAATTGAGAAAGTTGATCAACTCGTGTTGCGTAAATTTTACGACAACAGTTCAGACAAATTTCCACATAGCAACCAATCTGGCAAGAATGCTTTCTCTAGTTATGTTTGTATTGTTTTTGCTCTGTTTCTTCTTCCTCTTCTCCAAACAAATAAGGTCAATGACCTAGATGAGTCTTCTGTCACCATGGTGTTGGGTTACATCATGTTGCAATTTTATAGGAGGAATTTAGACTCCTGTCTGACCATATATATCTATATGGATGTGTTGAGTAAGAATCAACAGAGCAGAGCACATGCGAAGGTAAACATTATGCATTTGCTCTGCAAATGTTACCTTCCTAGTTAAACTTTAAGAAAAGTTTCTCCCCTCGCGTTGCACACTGGATCCTCCCCTAAAAATTGTGTGTGTGTCTGTGGCCATATGCGAAGGTTAACATTATGCATTTGCTTTGCAAATGTTACCTTCTTGTAGTTTAAAAGTTTGTCCCCTCGCGTTGCACACTGGATCCTCCCCCTAAAAAATTTGTGTGTGGTTTGGCTGTGGCGGGGAAAGCCCGTGCGTGACGTCAGACTGACTTCCGGGGGTCGGCTGGCTGTTATCTGCCGAAACGATCGATGCCCGCCATTCAGCAGCACTCTATTGTGGCTGTGTTTACTTTATTTGGCGCTGGGCGACTAGACTGACTGCCTTGCCGGTGCGTTCCATACATTACCATGAATGTATTTAGGCTGCAGACCCACCGGCGAATCGTACTATCGGCGGTTGACATGGAAGTGCAGGAAGGCGGCGGTAGTAGTAGCGCGGGTACTAAGGGGGAGGGCGGCGATGTGGCAGGCGGTGGGGAGGGCGCAAGCGGGCCCCGCGATCACAACAACAAACCATCGGGAGTTATCGAAGTGGAAAGAAAGTTCAGCTTTAGCGAGGGGAGCGAGGAAAAGCTCAGAAAGGCCGGAGCCGTCTGCAAAGAAGAGTCGTCGTTCCACGACGTGTATTTCGACACAGAGGAGTTTGTGTTAACGCTAGCAGACCACTGGCTAAGGAAGAGAGAGGGAAGGTGGGAACTGAAGTGCCCGCCTGCTAGCAGGGACCGTGCTAGTCTAGTGGAACAGTATGTCGAGCTACAGCACGAGGCCGACATCCTGAAACAATTGGCGGCCATTTTAAACGTGCGAGCGGGAAGCGTGGACGAGTTGGTGCGAAGGGCAAGCTGCGAACCGTTCTGTAACTTCCAGACCGACAGGAAGACCTACACTCTGGAGGGAGGCTTCAAGATCGACCTGGACCAGACCGATTTCGGCTTCAGGGTCGGAGAAATCGAGCTCATCTGCCAGAAGCAAGACGACGTCCCCGAAGCGCTACGCAAGATCGACGCTCTCGCCGAAAAACTAGGTATTTTTGAACTTTATTTCTCTCCCCAAGCATCCCTTACCCCAAATTTCCCTCAGAATAACCAGAAATTCCCATTTTTCAGCGAGTATGCTAGTTGTCGCGACGCTAGAAATCCCCGACGTTATAAAAAGCGGGGAGGATATAGCGGGGACAGTAAAAATGTCGTCTGCAGTCGCCATGTTGGATGGAGCGGCACAACAAATCATCCATCATGTGTCATCATCAGAAGCCGCGCGCCTGGAGTCATCACGGCGTGCAACGCAACAGATAAGGACTAACACATGTTTCACGAATGTTCCTACTTTTCCAGACTTCAACTCTCTTTTCCAGAAAGTCTTGTCTGCGAAATGCGAAAGCTGGCTTTGAAAACAAGAGAGAAACACTTCAGAAGCTAGGCGGGTCTCTAAAGGGGTAATTTGATACTTGTCATGAACACCCTCTTAAGTTTACTAAAGGCGTACATGTTGTAATGAATGTCTCTACTTTTCCAGACTCCAGTTCTCTTTTCCAGAAAGTCTTGTCTGCGAAATGCAAAAGCTGGCTTTGAAAACAAGAGAGAAACACTTCAAATACTAGGCGGGTCTCTGAAGGGGTAATTTGATACTTATGAACACCCTCTTAAGTTAATTAAGGGAGTACATGTCGTAACGAATGTTCCTACTTTTCCAGACTCCAGTGTTCTCTTTTCCAGAAAGTCTTTCTGTGACATCTAGCTGTGAAAGAAAAAGAAAACACTTCAGATACTAGGCAAGTCTCTGAAGTGAAGGGGTAATTTGACACTTGTCATGAACACCCTCTTAAGTTTACTAAGGGCGTGCACTTAAGTAGTGTCAATGACCTTGACTGAGGACAAGGAAAACAATTTTGCTAGGAAAAGATTCCTTTCATACCATTCTGTGTTTCTTTTTTTTCCTTGAGCAAAGCTAGTTGTATTTTAAGTCAATTATATGATTTTATTATGGAAAATTTTATAACTTTTTATGCACTACAAAATGATAGAGAAAGTGGTCTTTAATTCTTCTGACATCATTCAACTGTAAATTTAATATTGTCACAGTTCCCCTTAAATATTTGGTACATTAATTACAACTTTAACTTTTAAACATAAAGTTTTGATTTTTACTTAATGTATTATCAACAGGTAGTCTGGATGTCTGGCCTGATTTACAGAGGCACATAGAACCTGAGTTACAGTTTCATTGGTTCCAGAAGCCTTTTTTTACCATTTCTTTCTGCGGACTTGGAGATCTCATTTCCTGTACTATTTGTGGTACATGGACAGCAAAGCTTGCTGTGCAGTGTAGAGTGATATATTGTAAGCACTGGGCTCTCCACAGAAATATAGGACAACGTGCAGCTATACATTTGCAGAGGGTTAGGCTAATGCAGTCTCACACATGCAAATTTTGAGGACGAATTCAAGCAAAATTAAGTAAATCTTAGAATTGACAGACTGGTACATGTACTATTATTGCAAAGTGATACAGCACTGTTATTTGTTTATTACATTGTGTTGACTTTAATTTTTCACTGTAGTAGTTGAATGGAGGGTTGCCTTAACTGGTGAAAGAACTAGAAGTTCTTAAGAAAATGTCCTCAGTTTCCTGACTACATTTTGCCTTTCGAACAGTACGATACAATAAAAATTGTCTTATCTGTCCAATGCCCAATATTTTGATAGCTAGTTACCCCCCCCCCCCACTTAAGTTTGACCTATTTCTTTCTGATTGCTCTGTGTCAGTGTGTGGAAACTGACACTAACAACTTTGACACCCCATACTATACAATGTTATCATATCTTTCAATGTAAAAAACATTTTGAAAGATATTCAAGCCCATTGTCTAATAACTTTTAGTTATAACTGAAATGTAATATAGTGTCAAAATTTTGGCATATTTCACAGACAGGGCCTTTCAGCCAAAGACAGACATTCAAATCTTACTTGGAACAGTTGGGGTATGTCAACTGTGTATATTTTCGATCAGTCTCTGAGGCAAGTGTCTACAAGAGCACACATATTGAGGTCAATGTAAACTATACTATCTTTGTTTTGGTTATTGAAACCTAGAGGGAGAGGTGGCATTGCCATATGTGTCAGATACTCTAAATGATACCTTCCACACATGCAAGCTAGGAATTGAGGCTTAGTTATGTTGGTTCGTCTTTATGTCTGTCTGTGTGTCTGTCTGTGTGTGTGTGAGAGAGAGAGAGAGATAAGATAGATAGAGAGAGAGAGAGAGAAAGGAGCAGACAAGAAAGCTACAATTCCACACCACGGTTTAAGTGGCAAACTATATTATAACATTATACATCAACTATACTTTCAATATCAACTTAAGGCTTCATAACAAAATCTCATTTATACCAAATATTAGGTAAGACTAGAAAACCATTAAGTATCTAACTAATGACTCTTAAGTCTATACAAATCCTTGTCTAGACAATGGTTCATTTGACCTTCCTTTTGTGTACCTGTGACCTTTCTTTGTGCACGCCAATGTCAACACCTGTTGTTTATTCTACTCCCACCTACCAGGGCATGTTTATAGGGCCACCCTTAAGGGCAGGACAAAAACGTATTGACCTAAAGTTATACAGACATGTTCATTGATAGATTATATGCACAAACAGGGAAAAGGGAAGGCGTTTTACACAACTTTCCTCACTTCATTCAGGTGAAATGAGTACCTAGCTTTGGCTATCGATGTCCCTTGGATAGAAGGTTAAATGGAGGTCCTGTGGTTGGGACAGCCACACCCCACGCACGTTAAAGAACCCACCACACTTATCAAAAAGAGTAGGGGTCCTTCCCGGTGTGAGTGGCTCAAATGTAACAGTCCAGACTTACTAATGACAATGTATATAACTGGTATAATGTTACACCTAAAGGTACTTTATACAAAAGAGTATAGTGTTAGTCTCAATACATACAGTTTAAGTTATAAGAAATACTGTAGACGTTAGAGTAGATCAGCTAGATATGTAATAACTCTGAAGCGCTTGCCATACATTGTACCTGTTACAATTCTTGACTTTGACATTTTAATAGCCATGAAATACAGGCAACTGACAACCTGTCCTTGTTATGTTGAGGTTAGTTTTTGGTAGACTAAAACGTGATTCAAATTGGTAGCATTTCTGTATCTGTATAGCCAGTATAAACTATAACCGCCCTTTGGCGTAACACACCAGTTTCTGTATCTGTATAGCCGGTATAACCGCCCTTCGGCGTAACACACCAGCTTCTGTATCTGTATAGCCAGTATAACCGCCCTTTGGTGTAACATACCAGCTTCTGTATCTGTATAGCCGGTATAACCGCCCTTTGGTGTAACATACTAGCTTCTGTATCTGTATAGCCGGTATAACCGCCCTTTGGTGTAACACACCAGCTTTGCAGGCACACAGCACGGTGGCAGCTGGCTACATTACACTGAACAACTTGTTACACCTAACCCTTAAACATCTAACTCTAGACATTGTTTAAAGCTATCTAATGATAATGCCCCTACTGTACTTGGTGACAGTGAGTTCCACTCTGCGATAGTGTTTATAATAGGAAAGAATTAGTTTTTGAACACCTCAGTCCTTGGTTGATAACTCTGATATTTGAAGGCATGACTGTTTCTTGTTCTTTTCTGGGCTGGTAGTAGTTGGTACGTCCACCAGTTTAATAGTCACTTTCATGTCAATTTTGGTGATTTTTTTAGACCCTACATGTATAGTCAACATGGTTCTACTATTAGCAGTACAGGGGTGGCCAAGGCCATGTGTTATGTCAAGGGTCACATACCAGGCAGTCTTAGCAATCTTGTACCACTTCTCAAGTCTCCTTGTGAACACATGTCAGGGTCACATGACAAGGAAGTGCAAGTCTAGGGGGAAGTGTCAACAAACAAACTACAACTGGAACGTCAGCAGAACGTACCGTGCCTACGCAAAACGTAATATATTGAAAAGTTTATTGCAAATTCTTGCCCGGAGGCTAATTGCAAATTACAAAACATAAAAGAACAATGAAACAGAGTATAAAATAACTAAAGTCTACATGATAAAGGTAGCTGTCTAGAACTATAACTAAGTCTAAAACTATGTCTGAAGGATTTGACTTCTCTTCTGTAAACCATGGAAGACGTAATGTCCCACCTTTCCCAAAATTTGTGGGTTTTGGGAAGTTAAAAGAAGAATAGTTTTTTCTTGGTCTGTAAGTTTAGAGAAACTGGGATAAATTGTAGAAGTTTGAATAATCAATTCATTTCGAGCGTTGTATATATTGTGCATAGCACTTCGGTAGAACTTCTTGTTATGTTTACCGAAGGAAAACATATTGTTTTTGCTACGTTTCCTCTTCTTCCATTCCAAACACTGACCTCTGACCAGGCCAATGACCTGACTTGTTGACGTCTCTCACCATGGTAACTGGTGTTGGGTTACATAATGTTGCAATTTTATAGCAGGAGGGATTTAGACTCCTGTCTGACCATATATATGAAATCAATGTATTTGAGTAAGAATTAAAAGAGCAGACCACATGTGAAGGTAAGCATTATGCATTTGCTTTGCAAATGTTACCTTTCTAGCTCAAGGTTGTATTCTTGTATTTAAGACATTTCATTCTATAGTTTTCAAATGTTGTGTTGTAAAAGATATCGTCTGCAACCGGCAAAATTCTGATGCTGACGTTGACCAAACACCCAACAAAAACTGAAAAATCCAGGTTTTCCATGGGCGCAGTATGTTTTACCGACATGCTACCTCAACCAACAAACGGCACTGCAAACATATTAACCTTCTTGATGAAACTAATAAACTACGTATTGTTCAAATATACCTCCACGTGCACATGCAATTATTATTGAGTACAAGTTATCACATATGACCAAAACTGAAAATTTTACTCCATATATAGAGACTTAACTAAAGTTCAGCCTACTAAGGTAGTCATTTGACACCAAAATTTCTGTTGCCATTGGTTATGGGTTTAGGCAGCAGGGAAAAG